GGGGTGTTCAAAACTAGAGGGCATAGGTTTAAGGTGAAAGGGGAAAGATTTAAAAGGGTCTTATGGGGCAACTTTTTCACACATAGGGTGGTGCCTGTATAGAATGAGCTGCCAGAAGAAGTGGTTGAGGTTGGTACAATTACAACATTTAATTGGTGCATTTCCAGTTCCGTAGAAGAGTCACTCAACCTGAAACATCAATTCTGATTTCTCTCCACAAATGCTGCCAGACCTGCTGAGCTTTTCCACCCATTTCTGATATTGGGTGGTGCTGAGGCTGCACTACATTGTTGAAAATGGCTGTTTTTGAGGTGAGCTGTTATGAAACTCACTCAATCTTTTTAAACAATCCTATCATGGCATTTTGAAAGAAGAGGGTGGATGGAATGGACTAGTGGTGGGGGAGGGGGCTGTAATGAGTGGTTGTCCCGGGTCTCCTCAGCAGATATTAACATTTACCAAAACAGATTATCTGACTGTTATTGTGTTTGTGAGGCATTAGTGCTTGATTTCCTATATTTCCACAGCAGTGACTTCAGAAATGTACAGAGATTTGAGCATTTTTTGGCAGCACCAAAGATGCTAGATAAATGCAAGGCAGTCTTTACTTTTGTTTTCCTTCTCTCAGTTGCCAGCACTGCTCATTTGTGTATCCACCTCAAATACAACCAGCAATTTGTGCTGATCTTGAAACAGTATAGGTTTTCTTTGTTTTATTGGGAGCAGAGAAAAGAGATTGTTCCTCTCTACAATGTATTTCAGTGTCAGAGCCAGGTGACGATTTAGCTGATTACAGGCTCTGGTAAAAATGGGACTAATATGTCAACTTCAAGCTATTAGTTTCGCAGTTATTTCCTCCTGATTAATCTGCTAATTACATGTCCTTTTCACTAAATGTCTGGATAATGGATGTTGAAATGTCAGATGTTTTGTTTATCCTTCCTGTGAATATTGAGGATAGAATTGTTTAAAACAATTGGACAGCATCAGGAGATAAAAGTACATTGCTTTACTGAGTCAGCAGCAGAACTGCAGATACCAAGCTGCTAAGTATTGCTAAATAACAAAACACTGAAGGTCTGATTTTCTGATTTTCTTTTGCCAGCCCATTTGAGGCTGTTGTGCAAATTTGATGAATCAAAGCTCTCCAGCAGCACATACGACAGACTGACACAATTTTCTACATTCAGTTCATTTTATTAATTATTCAGTGGTCTACTCAGCTTTGGCCTTGTGCATGGAGCAAACTTAGTTAGAGCCAAACCAAGTGATGTGCAAATTTTGCAGAGCCAGGCTGAATTAAAACGTGGGTGGCTGCTCTCGGGAACAAACGTTGTCTTTATAAAGCAGTAAAGTTATTTTTATATTTTGTCATCTTTAACCAAGGGTGTGGTGCATTAAGTGCAGGAATAAATTAAATGAGAAAATGCAATGTAGGAGCACAGGTTAAATTTTGTGAGCAAACGGCAGAGCCATATAATCTCTGCTGGATTCATGGCTAAACGGTTCGACAGCTCTGTGAGGGGAGATGCCTTATTTGCCACTTTGAGGAACCCTTGCCAAAGGACTGAGGGGCACTATTCTTAGCAGCAGATGGTACCAGGTTTAATATTGTATGCATGACATGAAAGACCTAAGAACAAGCTGACAGCATCCTTACACAGCCTGTCAAGCAGAGGAAACCAAGCAATATCACATATCCCGTAGATGGCCTTGCAACAAAATACTGCTTATCGACCTGTTCCATATTTACTGCTCTGCATGCTGTTGTGTGATGGATCCTTCTCACAGCTCACCTTGCTGAAAGATGCCTCTGATAGGTTTGCTCCCATCCATCCCCTTTTGTGATAAGGTTCTTGTCAAGGATAGCTTCCGATACCAGTCGGTCACTCGAGATGGGTAGAAACAGGATTATCTCCTCATGAGGGATGAGAAGCCAATTGTCAGGCAGCCAACTAGTCATCATTGTTTCAGAGATAGTAGGAACTGCAGATGCTGGAGAATCTGAGATAACAAGGTGTAGAGCTCGTTGAACACAGCAGGCCAAGCAGCACCAGAGGAGCAGGAAGGCTGACGTTGCAGGCCTAGACCCTTCTTCAGAAAGAAGGAAAGAAGAAGAAAGAACCTTCTTCTGAAGAAGGGTCTAGGCCCAAAACGTCAGCCTTCCTGCTCCTCTGATGCTGCTTGGCCTGCTGTGTTCATCCAGCTCTACACCCTGTTATCTCAACTAGCCATCGTGACTCTTTCTGACCTATCATGGGCTGCTTTCCTCCAGGAGTGTGAGAGATGCTATTAAGTAGAGAGATGAAAGTGGGTGGCCAAGCTGTTTCTTTGGCTGTGGGTGGGCAGATGTTCCAAATGGGTTTATAGGCAACACAGAGGTTAGTGGTGTGAGGGGGCAGGCTGGGTGAGCATGAATGATGGGAGATATTGCAACCAATAGTGAGAGTGATAGATCATGAGCCTCTGTAGGAGGTGAGTGCAGTAACAGAGGTAGAGTGAGTGTGAGGTAACAGTGAGAAGTTGATGGTACTTACACTGGCAGAGAGAAGGTCATTAACCTTCTTCCTAGAATATTGAGCATTCCTGCAGTTGGTTGTGATTGCCCTAACCCAGTGGTAAAGATGGTGTGGTGTGGTCTGTTCTGTTGGTCCTGCGAGAAGAGGACATCCAAGTAAGTCATGACAAAGGCTTTCGGGGCTCATGGTGCATGGCTCATTGAAGATAGTACTTGCTTCAAGAACAAAGCCTAGCTATTTTCGAATAGCCATAAATGTGAAAATTTCATCAAACTACCAAAAATCCCAATTTTTTTCTCTGATTGACTGCCACCCAGAATAAAAAATCCACATCAGTAACAGTAAAAATAAGAACAGTGAACAAAAGGGAAGTCTAATTTGTTTTGCTTAAGCTTTACATTTTTAAACTCTCACAGAAGTAATGATCCCTGTGGAATGCTGACTCTGGAGGGAAGGGAAAGATGTATTTGGTGGTGGCATCTTGCTGTAGGTCACAGAAATAGCACAGGAATGCGGGGAGCAATTGGGTGGCAAGTGAGGTCAAAGGGAACCCCATTGTTCTGGGAGGGAGGAGAAGGGCTGAGGGCAATGTGCAGGAGATGGGTTGGACATGGCTGACAGCCCTGTCAACAACAGTGGGCCAGGAATCCTCAGTTGAAGAAAAAGAAAGTCACATCAGTGATAGCCAGTGCAAGGTAACATCATTGGAACAGACGCAATGGAAACAGAGAAACTGGGAGAATGGAATTATTTAAGGAAGTACAGTGTGAGGAGCTATTGTTGAGGTAACAGTGGAGTTGGGAGGCTTGAAATGCAGGTGGACAGCCCATCCTCAGAAATGCAAACAGACTTACTGCGTGACTGTTTGCAGAACACCTTCGCTCTGTCTGTAGCAATGACCTGACCACCCAGCTGCCTGCTATTTCAATAAACTACCTTGCTCAGATGCTAACATTTCAGCCCTGGACCCGCTACAATGTTCCAACAAAGCACAATGCCAACTCAAGGAAATGCATTTTCCATTTGGGCACTTTACAAGCCTTTGGGATACCTCCACTTGTATTTGTCTTACTTGTGTCTTGTTTACTTTGCCCTCAGCTGAAAGAATTCCTTTACTCCCTTTCACGCTTTAATTTACATCCATTTTATGTCTCTATTTCTCTTTCATCACAATTAACAAACCCTTTGGCTTTTGCATGTGCACCATCTGGTTTTCTCGTTTCTCCAACACCTCTGTCAAAAATATAAAAAAAGTCCATTTGCCAATCCCTTTCACTTCTGAAGGAGAGTTACATTGGAGTCAAAGCATTAACTCTGTTTGTCTCATCACAGATGTTGCCAGACTTGCTGAGCTCCTCCAGCATTTGTTTCCAATTTCCAGCATCTGCAATATTTAGCTTTCATTTGAATTTGAAAGGGTAAAATGAAATAATTTTGACTTATGGGCCTTAGGAATATTACAATATATAAAGCTCAAAGAGAAATTATTTTCTTGGAAGAGTTTAGAAACTCACTACAATTTGTACTTAGGACCCATGTTGAAGACCCGTGCATTGCAGCTGCTAGATGGGCATCTGTAATGGTTGATGATTATGAGCTGGTACAGAAAATTAAAGCTTCTTCTACCACCCTCAAAAAAACCCAAGAAGAATAGAGAATGGGAGCATGAAAGGAAGACAAGTAGACAGCGTAAGAAAAAGCTATCTGAGAATGCCTAAGGAAATGCTATTATTCCATTGGGATCTTTTTGATTGCCTCACATCATCAGTAATGTGTGTGTCTAAGGTTATTCTCATGATCCAGTAAACAATAGACCAAGCATTTGAAGATTGTGGCCAAGGCTCACATGATTAAGTTTAGGGACACTGACATGGTCTGATTAAATCAGAGTGAGGACACTAGGCCTGAGATTGTGAAAATGCAGACAACTGATGTAAATTATGCAGCAATGTAGATACAGATTTCCGCAAAGTGTAGATACAGATCCTTTCCATGGTTGGGATCTCTATAATCAGGGCAACCATTCCCAGAATAAGATGTAAGCAATGCAGTACTGAGATGTGAAGGACAACATTCACTCGGTGGGAGAGAAGGGGAGGATCCTTCAGTCTGTTTGTTCCCTATTCTTCCTTCGCTTTTCCTGAGACCAATCCCATCACCCTGCTTCCCTCCAGGAACCCCCAATCATTGTGGTACAACTACATTGTACACAGTTAGTGCAAAGGCTAGCTTCGTCCACAGGTTTTGACACTTCCAAATGGCTGTGATATTAGCATATTGAGATTACAAATGGGGCCTTTAATTAAAACAATAGTGCTAAATAAAAAGGCCAATGAGCCATCATGCATTAAGCAAGCGAAGGCCCATGAAACTTAAACAAAATATACAACATCAAAACAAAATGTCCATATATCTCAGTTGACCTTGCAGCAGTTTGCTAAGAGGTTCTCATGAGCCTGCCTGCCTTATTGGATCATTTACCTGGATTCTTCGTGTCTATGAGTGACCTCCTGGCCCATTTCAGGATCTTCACTGTTCCCTTCCTCATCAGAGGAGATCTGTCACTGCTTCATCTTTTCTTCTCCCAAGATAGTTCATTCTGTTGAGTGAGGTTGAAGAGGGTGCAGCACTACAATGATGCAATGATGAGTATACTCCAGCACACTGCCTACATTCTGTAGACATCAGGTTTTAGTTTTCACCAGTGCTAAGGCCTAGTCGACAATAGCCCTTGTGGAGTGTTATGCCTTTCCTCAGCATCAGTCTGAAGATTCCTGTTAGCATTATCAGCCAGATCTTCAGACGCAGCACTTGTCATGCAGCAACTATTCCCATATACAATGAGATTTGGAAAAATGCAGACACCTGTAAATGCTCCAGAATTGTGACAACTTCCTGGATATTGTGTACAGAGCTGCATTATTCAACCGATGTGGTCAAAGATGATCGACACATTAAAGAAGTGGAAATCTCTCTTGACAACAGCTCGTTGCTGATAGGATACTTTGAGGGCAACGTGGATGCAATCGATAGCACCTTGCACTTTTGGGAAACCTGCTATGGCAGCAAAGCCGACTGCCAGTCTGACTGACTCCCTGTATCCGAGGGGATGTGAACAAATTGATGCACTTTAGCCAAAAGAATATCAGTGGCCACCTGATTACATTTATGAGTTGCTGCCTGTGAAATTCCACAGAGACGTCCTATCACTCCCTGAAAGTACAACATCCCAGGAAGTCATTGCTGGTCTGTCAGTTGCAGATATCTGCATCAATCTCTGTAAGTATGGTTTCTGGCCAATGGTCATCGCCAAGTGTCCCCTGTCACCCTGAATGCTGTGCCTCTGAAGGCTGGACCAAAGTCTATGGCTGCTACTCTTTCATCTTTCAGCACTGGCCCCTCCTCAGTTTCAAGTTGGCAGGAGGAAGCAGAGTTCATCTGTGCCATCGTGCTGTCAGTTTCAGGGGATTTGTGAAAACTGTAATTTGTCACAAACAGTCATCATTCATTTTGAGGCATGCATTTAACTCTCTAACCTTATTTACCAAGGCTATCTGCTTTGGCTCAAATAGTAATCCAAAAATGATTATCTTTGGGATTACTTTTTTAAAAAGGTTTGGCCTTAGCTATGCATTCACCCTCAGTAGAACTCTTTCCTAGTTCTACCTATGTCATTGGCATGTATGTGGACAATGGCAACTGCATTCTCTCCCCTCACATCTGACACCATAACCTTTTGGACTCTCACTCTCTACTATAAAGAGGCATCCATTCCCATTAATAACACTTGCTTAGATGACTTCTGCATCATGATGTCATCGTCAGTTTGATCACCATCCCATAGCCACTGTTTTTATCAATACTGCTTGAAAGTGCCTTATGCTGTTATATAATTGCAAAGACTGACTACATTTCTCCATAGTTGTGTTTGTACTGGAAGATATTAGTATCCAGATACATCCACACAATTTAGTCACTGCACCTCACCTACACTGCTATCCTCAATGTATATTAATTAAGTAACTAGTTCATCTCTTGACTAATTATTAAATTAAATAATTGCTTCTTCTCATGACCATTTACTGCACTAAGTTAGTGAAACAGTGAATGAATAAACATTGTCACTTAAAAATAAAATTAATAATGAACTCAATAGTTTCTAACTTCCTTTCTGCTTGTATCTAATATCTTCTAATAATTATCAACATGGACTAACCATCTTCAATATCTGACATCTGATAATTAAATGTCTAAAATTACTTTTAGAAAAGACAAATATAGACTTGAAATAGTTGCTCTGATCACATAACAAGAATTATCTCATGAAATCAACAGTAAACAAGGGTCAGTCTGTGTTGAAATTATCATCATTAGAAAAAGTACTGAAACTCAGACCCATACCTCTTGGTTGATTCACACCTTTCTGGAAGTTCCACCTCGTGATGAAAACCACTTGCACAGCTGAATTTGAAAAGCTACATGAATAATTTAAAACCCTTAAAGATAACTTTATCTGTCACATCCCTACCAAGTGTCAGACAGAGCCTCCTCATTATTCAGCGTTTTTTCCACCTCATATCTGCTCTGACTATATTGACCTGGGTTAATCTGTGAATTGCGATTTGTTTAAGTATATTTTTTCAACCTCCCACATCAGACACACCCATTATCTTTTTTTTTATTTAAAAGAAATCCTCAAACTAAAAGTTATATTTCTGAAACTTGTAAGTATTGAAATTAAATGTTTGGATTGGATATACAATGCCATGTCTTTTGCCCTTGCCGTGGTTATTTCTTTGCATCCTTATCCAATTACTTGTTGGTACTGGCCACAAAATCCAAATTTCCTCACTCCCACCGTTAGAAAGAACTTTCCCCATGCCCTCACAGCCCACTTTCAGACTCACACTCCCTTTGACCTTCTGCTTGCTGTGGTATTTCTGTAGACTTTGTTCAATCATGCCCTCACCTCCACCTTTAAAGCACATAGCACTGTTTAAACCTATCACCATGTGGACTTTCATACTCCTTGGCCAAAATCACATACTACCATTGTGCAGAACCAAACTATTACCAACTGAGTTCTTAGTTCATCTTCGCCTCTTCTTTCTCCTCCAAAAGCACATGCATTGAACACATTTCTCATCAAGATTAGGACAATTTGTCCACAGTTTCCTTGCTTCTCTCCAAGTCATATTTCACCATCTTCTATTCAAGTTTTCTCCTACTTGCGTTCTGAGCCACCATTTTTCTCTAATATCTTTCATTTTGTTCATATGACAAACCACACTGCCATGCTCAAACACTTTCCTCTGTTGTCAAACTTGTTGAGTTTCCCTTTACTCGGTTTCATAACTTTTTTTTATCTTTAATTTTGAAACATGGTCAGTGATTCAAGGCTAACATTTGTTGCCCCTCACTTGTTTCCCTTTAATGGGCAATGAAAGGTTGATAATAAATATGGTAGGAATTTTATTTTTCTTGAATTCTCAGTCTCTGCATTATTAGCCCGTGATGTTACATCACGAGTTCAACAGATGACGAACTGAGCTATCAGTCACAACCACATCATCTCCAGTAAAGGCATCTCTCCCCACTTCCTGTACTAATACCTCTTTTGAGGACTTGTGCTGAGTTTCCTCCATGTCTTCATCTACATGTTGTTTCATGATAATACCATCGACCAACATAGGCTCATCTTCCGCACAAATGTGAATAGAAAACAGGGCTGCCTCATATCTTCAGCTGTCTGAGCCAGATGTTCTGTAAGCTCCTCCTCAAACTCCTGTACTCATCTTTTCTCATTTAAGGTCCTAGATGTTAGGATGATATGGTGGCTCAGTGGTTAGCACTGCTGCCTCACAGTGCCAGGCACCCAGGTTTGATTCCACCCCTGGGCAAATGTCTGTCTGGAGTTTGCACACTCTCCCCGTGTCTGTGTGGGTTTCCTCAGGGTGCTCCGGTTTCCTCCCACAGTCCAAAGATGTGCAGGGTAGGTGGATTGCCCACGCTAAATTGCCCATAATGTTCAGGGATGTGTAGATCAGATGGGCTATTGGGGATGGTCTGGGTGTGATGCTCTGAGGGTTGGTGTGGACTTGTTGGGCTGAAGGGCCTGTTTCCACACTGTAGGAATTCTGTGATCTAAATTGTGCGTAGTGTTCAGGGATATACAGGTTAGGTGGATTAGCCATGGGAAATTCAGTGATAGGGTAGGGGGATGGGTCTGGGTGTGATATTCTTCAAAGGATTGGTGTGGACTCAATGGGCCGAATGGCCAGCTGCACTATAGGGATACTATGATTCTACTTAAAACCTACCTTGTTGACTAAAGGTTTGGACACCTCCCATTATTTCGTCCCATCCTTTTAGTGTCTCCCTCCTTTGTTTGAGATCCATTTCATGTGCATTTTAATAGTGGCCTTGACCATTAAGTACTTTGGGACATTCTGAGATAATAAATATTACTCTATTATTGTATCTATTTTTATTTTTATAGGAATAGTTTTAAATGTGAGACTCTATGAGATGGTTATGTTTTAATCTGTCTTTCTTAATTAAAGGTAAAACAGAATTAATTAGAATGAAGATCAAGAAATCAGATTGAACTTTGCCTGGAGTTAGGTCCAGGTGCCTGGGTCATCGTGGGGATAGAGGTCCAGGCAGAAACTTTGGACCATTCAGTGCCAGTTTTTGCACCTTGGATAAAAAGACTGGTATCTGGTCTCGCTTGATACAGATTCTCAGACAGGCAGTGGGACTGGAGGGCAAGACTGACAACATTTACTGCTATGCAAGACAGAGGGAAATACCATCCCATCAGCCTCCACATTCAGAGGATTGTAAACCGTTACATTCTATCTGCAAAAATGACCCCAAGCTTACAGCTGCCTACCACTTCAACAGACCACCATGTTCCCTGGCCAACATTCCTGTCATAGGCCTGCTACAGTGCTTCTGCGAGCCTCAGTGCAACTTGAAGAACAACATCTCATTTCCTGCTTTGGGACACTGTAGCCTCTCGGACTCAACATCAAATGAAGCAACTTTAGAGCCTGATTCCATTCTTCCATGTTTTTTACCCAGCCCCCACACCCAGTCTTGTTATGACACGGGTTGCTTTTACCACAGTCACCCATTCTCACATACTCCTATGTTGATTATCACATTATATGGTTTGCTTTCAGTACAGCTCATCCATCGTCTCCTCCTCTTAGGTCTTATTATCGCTTATTCAGCTTTTCTTCCAACCTGTTCTGCTATCCATAATCTCCTTGTTTACCCTTTCCTTTCAGATGTCTCTCTGAGCTCCGTCACCACCTATTCGTTCACCTCAAACGCCAACCAACAACTTTGTCTTCAGTTTAAATGCCATCTTTTCCTTGCTGCCAGCAGTTCTGATGAAGAATCACCAGACTTAAAACAATATCTCTGCTTATTTTTAATTCATTCACAGGATGAGGACGTCACTGGCTAGGCAACATTTATTGCCCATCCCTAATTGCCCCGTGGGCATTAAGAGTCAACCACATTGTTGTGGGTCTGGAGTCACATGTAGGCCAGACTAGGTAAGGTTGGCAGTTTCCTTCCCTAAAGGACGTTAGTGAACTAGATGGGTTTTGTCCCTTAAAATCGACAATGGATTCACAGTCATCATTAGACTCTGAATTCCAGATATTTTTATTGAATTCAAATTCCACCATGTGCAGTGGCGGGATTTGAACCTGGATCCCCAGACCATTCTGGGTCTCTGGATTAACAGTCCAGCAATAATATCACTCGGCCATCACCTCCCCATTTCTTCCCACAGATGCTGCCAGATCTGCTGAATTTCCCCAGCAATTTCTGTTTCTGTTTCAGAGAAAAGTAGTATTAGTCACCATGCAGAATGTTGATGAGAATGGATTCTTTGTGTTACAAAGAAGCTTTATATTTGTTATTGCTTGGAGGGCTTAAGTTTTGAAGGATTGTAGAAAAGGAATTCATTTCAAATGTTGTGGACATACTTGAAGTGGTTTCTTTAAAGGAGATAATTGAAAGTTCACTGTGGGCATTGCAGCTTGTTTTTAACAAGGCTTCTGAGGAATCATTTGACTGCAATAATTGATTGCATTACTGTAGTCTCTTCTGGGGTTGATTTGAACAGTGACTGGCTGGAAGAGGTTCTTGTTTTATCTATTTCAGTTGGTGGGAAGTCTGTTAAAACCATGGTAAGTTGAAAACTTGCTCTGAACAAGTTGCCTGGCTGATCCCTCCCATTTCTATATTGAATCAGGGTGAATTCTACTTGTTCCTTGTAAGAGTGATTGAAAGAACATCTGAAGATTATATTTTCTAGAAAGACTTCGTTGACAATTGTGCACAGTTGACATATTCCAGAATATTACAACACAGACTTTGGAACCTGTACTCTATCCTTTTCCCTTCATGAATAATCCATTGGCCAAAGTGTTTTTTTTTGTAGAGAATCAAGATCTGCACATAAGTTTACTTTTTCTTTCTCTTTTCCTTGTGATTGCCTGTGTGTAAGTGTTTCCATATATGTCTTGGGGAAATTTAGAGGGATAAGCGTTTAAATTTCCATGTCTCCAATTATTACATCATTATTGAATAAGTTTTGCTTTTGATAATAAACTCACAATTGGGAAATCTGTTTGATCCTTTTGTTTAAAAATCTGATGTAGGTAAAATATTTAATTGGTCATCTTTGTAACTGGAAAAAGCATTTCATTTCATGTTGCAACCTGTGAAGTAGTGGGACTGGAGCAATGGGGCACCCCTCTAATTTTGGTTATAACACTTATTTGAAGAAATGAATCATGCCAGAACATAAAGCACAAAAAGTTGCCAGAGAAGTCTTGCTGCTGGAAATCAGTTCAATAATGCTCAGGAAATTGAATGAAGTGAGTTTTAAGGGGAATGGGAAGTCTGGAAGAATTGTCATGGTATAACGGGGAGACATCTCTTGAATAGTGAGTGAAAGTTAAAACTTTATCAACAAGATTATGTATTTGCTAAGAGTGTGGCATATTGGTGTGGAGTTTATGATGTGTCAATTAGTTAATGGGGAAAGTACCTTTCTTGTACTTCAGTGTATAAGATACCTACTAAGTAATGTTTAATTAATTAATAATACTATTAGCTAATTAATAATACTATTAGCCTTAAATTATGAAATATTGAATGATTCCTTTCATTGGATGCTGGGAAATTCAGATTTCTTAAATATTACAGACCTCTACAAAGATCCTAACAAAATGGTGCAAATAAATGTTTGTTGTTGCTATTTACATTTCTTCACAGCTTTACCAAGTCCCTTTGCCAACTGCAGAATTAGCAATTCACTCCCATCAGCATTTCCTAGTTATCTGAAAGATCCTGGCCTCAACTTTCTTTATAATTTTTCTAATCTCATCTTTCAGTATCTCTGACTTTATTTTTCTTTTATCTTCTAATCTATGTTGTTATCATTTTTGCTTCTTCTTC